CACAGATGCAAAAGCTAATAGCATTTTCAAAAAAGTACATAACTGCATCGAGATAAAAGGTGCTACAATAAGGTATGTATTTATCCAGCTACTTTGAATTATCAATGTAAGTATATATTATATTCAGATTTCTCTCCCATTGGCAAATACTTGAAATAGTTTACTTATAAGATTTGATCATTCTTTAAGGCTTGTATAACCTTTTGTTTAAAGTAGCTAGTTTGAAGCATCCGGTATATTCATATATTTATAAATACTTAAATTACTAGTAGTCATGAGAAAAATCTCATTGATCAGAGTCAAAAGGAAAACTTAAAAACAACTGTCGAAGGAATGACATTCAGTAATGTAATAACTTTATTATAATAATTTAAAAAATAATGTTCATGTGATTTAGTCTCGAAAACTGAGGGACTATTAATTCCAAGCATTAGTATGTCCATTCATCTACAATGTACACGAACTTAAAGATCGAAAAACTTTCCAAACTGAGAGCTGTCGAATCGTTAATTGATAAATAAATATACACTAGTACTCGATAATTGGTGAGTTTAAAAAGTTTGTTTGTAACATCCATAATAAAATTGTTTAATCGGTGATAATTGTTTCTATATATAATAAAAAAATTTAATTGAGGTTGAAACTTCGATAAAAACGGATGAAATGTGCTGTCAGAATGAAATTGTATTGTATAGTCATGAAATATTTGCCACTGGACATTAAACAAACAAATAAATATCAACCATGTACAAATATCCATGTGCATGTACTGTTTACATAAGTGATAATATGTGACCAGCCATGGGATTTTTAGGCTAATGGAGGTATCGGGGTCAAAATGAGTCTTTTTCAACTAATCAAAATGTAATTGTAGCTTTAATGACTAAATAACTGAAGAATCTTAATTTAATTGCCATAGCAAAAATGTACCGGATTACTGACTTTTTTTTCTTCTTTTTTTCTTAAGCAAAACTACATCAATGCTAAGAAAGTGAATACCAATATATATAATAAAGCATCAAGGAGGTGTATTATTTAATATGCTTTCTTATGTTCATCTATTATCTTATTGGTGAATACATTTTGTACGTGTATCCTGACAAAATGATTAAATCAAAGATCTGTTAATGCAGAGTTAGATGAAAAACCAAACAGCATGATCTATAATATAAGGACATGTAGATGGGAGGGATGTGAGAAAAACTTACAACAACACATACATCTTGTTTGTGTAGTGCATGCTTAGACAGTCATAGATAAAAAAAAAACTAGGAATAAACATGGGATGTGACATTTGGGGTCCTAATGGGCAGACATATCTTGCTTTATTTACATGTACCGGTATATGTCCATACATATGTTCATATTTTCCCTTACAATGTGAAACAATTAGACTCACAGGAAAAATATTTAATTCAAATTTTAAGTAAAGCTGTTTTAAAACTGAATTTACGATTAATTAATTGCATGTCATTTAGTTCAGCGACCAATATTTTATACTTATAATATAAAAATAAGGGAATGTGGTATAACTGCAAATGAGACAACAATAAACCAAAGTTGAAAAGAAGTGGATGTCAGCAGTATTGCAGGCAACCGTACGGCCTTCAACGATGAGAAAAACAATACCACTAGTCGCCTATAGAAGGCCCCGAAATGAAAAATGTGAAATAATTCAACTTTTATGATGGTGCATGCATGGCTAAAAATACCAAAATAATGTCAAAAACATTCAGTAACTTTCATTTTTTTTTTCAATAAATGATTAAAAAGTTGTGTGTTATACTTGAAAATGAGTATGAATAAGCCATATAGTATTAGAGATGAGGTTTTTCACTACAGTCTAGTCTATATTTAATAAGACCTTATGTAGTATTATGAATTAGGTCATTAATTTTCTCAATTGAATTATTTCACATTTTGAATTAAATAATTCGTCTATCAACTATGTGAAGCCGACTGAAATTGTCCGTCAATAATGCACCATATAATGTTTAATGACACGATTTCATTCTAAAATGTTTGTAAAATATTTTTCCTGTGGTGTTCACACAAATAAAACAGTCGAAGTTCACGAAATATATGTTTGTAAAAAATGGAATTAAACCTTTCCTCCTTCACGACAGGAACTCAGCGAGCAATAATAAAGAACACTTTGAAACATCAAAAGGAGTTAAAAACATGGTTAAATTTCAATTATCGAAAACTAATAAATACGAAATTTTGTTTATCAAATTAAAGTAAAGTATTTGTCGCTTATCAGTCAAACACCATTTGGGTAAAAGGAACTCAATTTAGATAAGAAACTGTAGGCATTGGCAGTGTGTATTTTATCGACAATGTTAGGGAATTTCTGTTGAGTTCCATGTTTAAAATTAGTGTTTTTCTAAATTTTCATAACTCCAAATCTCAATATTCTTTTGATATTTAGCGAGTCCTAACTGTGCGTTCTCTTGGGCCATGATTCTGTCATGGGTGGACCGATTTCCCGTTTCGGACTGAGAGGGTAAACACATAAACATTACTATTCGAACATACGTAATGTGCGAAACTTTCTAAAGTACTTTTCAACACACAGCCTGACGAATATGTCGGATATGCGGTTAATAAAGTGTTTTATATTATGTTAGTCTGGTAAGTTACAATGCCAAAAAAAGGGCGGCCCGGTCTTGTTGTTCAATTATCTTGTGTTTCCAGCTCTTATGTCGATCTTTAAATCGTCAGCATCAGTGTCATGTGCGTGCATGCAAATATAAAAACCAACGTTGTCGTTTGCCGCTGGAAGACGGGTTTTTTTTCAGAGAAAGAAAACTCAATTTACTTGTGCCATAATTATAACGTCACAATGACGTCATGGATATTACGTCATTGCTCCAAAATACACTTAGATGACCGATGGTCAACAATGTTATAACGCATTAATTATTTAGTGTAGTATAGGTTGCAAAGTTTTGATTTATAATATATACTTATTGTAATATTGCTGAAACGACATATATGTCGCCTTGGCATCAAACCCCTAAACGACTTATATGTCGCTTTGGCATCAACACTGAAACGACATATATGTCGCTTTGGCATTAAGAGGGTTAAGGCTACGTCCCGCACCGACGTCAACCCTAGATACAATAGGTAAAACGCGACGTCGTAACTCCCGCGGTATTCTCAACATTATCCAATCCCGTACCTGCATTTGAAATTCTGCGAAATATAATGACGCTTGCCGTCAAATATCTTCACCGAGGTCCAATAGTTGGAAACTATTGACCGGTTAAATAGTTCAACGCTTGCAATTTAAAAAAAATAGTGAAAATATTGTGTACTTATTTTATATAGAAAATGATAACTGAGGTATAGTAAATCCCACTATTTTCACTTTTACATGTCTACCAACCTACCTTGATAAATTGCATTACCTGTTACCAGCGTTTCAGTGCTTACCACATGATTTGAACATTAAAAATTACGTAATCAATTCAACTTTCGAACTGCAAATTTGTTTTTAAACAATGAAGTAATGAATGAAATTTATGTTCATACATTTGTTTAATAAAATTGCATATTTGAAAATGGGAATTAAAAAGAATAATCTAGTGTTGCGTTTCTAATGTCGGTCAGTATATTTAAGATATCTTATATATATATTTTTTTTTATCTTAAAGATATCTTATTTAACTTATGAAATATCGTTTTTGATTTAATCTCAATTATAAAATAACTTATTTAGTTTATAAAACATCTTTTTAACTTTATATCTTGAAAATAGAATAAATATAAAAACGGCTTGCCATAGATAATAAAATTGAGAATGGAAACGGGGAATGTGTCAAAGAGACAACCCGACCAAAGAGCAGAAAACCGCCCAAGGCCATCAATGGGTCTTCAACACAGCGAGAAAATCCAGCACCCGGAGGCGGGTTTCAGCTGGCCCCTTAACAAAAATGTGTACTAGTTCAGACGTCTCACTTTACTCCGAAACATATAAATGAACCAAAATTGAAAAAAAAAACATGCGGCGGTGTTAAACATGTTTGTGAGATCTCAACCCTCCCCTATAACTCTAGCCAATGTAGAATAAACAAACACACAGCAATACGCACAGTAAAACTCAGTTTAAAAGAAGTCCGAGTCCGATGTTAGAATAGGTAACAGATGAAACTAAGTAAAATGACAATGATCAACATAAATCAAGAAAGGCCTACTAGCAGTTACTGATATGCCAGCTCCAGACCTTAATTAAATGATTGAAATATCATGTCTTCATCGTATGAATATCAAGCACAATCCCTCTCGTTAGGGGTTTACTTGTATCAACATAAATTAACAAAGGACTACTAGCAGTTACTGACATGTATGCGCATTATTATATTTTAGAAATAGTTTTTTTTTGTGTTGTAGCAACAAAAGTTCTTCAACTGGAACAGCTGTCGTTGCTGACTGTCTAACAAAAGAAAGTAACTATTTTGAAGTAGTAATTGTAAACCTGGGTGTTAATGGTAAGCATTTTATATAATTAATATTATATATATATTTTTTTTTATTATAATTAAATCTATAATTTATAATCATGATAAGGTTTAAGTCACACACCAGTACTACATGTATTTGTTCACTTGTTGTCTTATTGTCTATACATTTATGGAATTCGTAAGTTTAAAATTATGGAAAATCAGTTATAATAATTATACATTGATTCATGGCTTGACTGCCACATTTTTTTTGTTATTACTCGATAAGAAGCCTCCCATCTTTTTTTTTATATATGTTTTAATTTTTTGTCATAAAATTAAGTTAATACATACATTTTTGCACATGGGTACAAAAAATGTATCTGTATTTTAAAAGAGTACATGGCAAAAGGTGTACAAATTATGAATATTTTTCAATTGGTAAAATACTGTTATTATTTTATAAGCTCCACACTTGAAAAATTGTCTGTGGTTATCCCTGGTCACATTCGGAGAGTTTTAAACATTACAGGACACTGCTTTTTATTGCAGGGATAGGAGTTGTTTCTGAATCATATGGTGTAGTTGGAGCTCCTGGTTGGCATGAAGGATCTGTAGCTATTCATGTTGATGATGGAACGTACGAAATAAATATTTATAGCCCCCTCACCTACAAGACAAAATGACATGCGATCCTTTTTTCTCCACTACGCGTCAGTTGTCCTTCATCGTTCGTTTACACTTTGAAATTTCTAAACAGGAGAAATTGAGGCAAATACCAGAAACAATACTATTTTCTCCTCCTACAATATTATTCTATATTCTGGTGGTTAGTAAATATATAGGTATATATATGGATCAGACTTACAAATGAGACTAAATTTAGCAAGTGCATGTATTATTAGTTACATAGTGTGCTAGTGACCGAATACGATATATCTGGGGTCAGTAACATGACTACTAACCGTGTATTAAAATAAACCACGCCTACTAGCCCCATATGAAATATACACGGTCTCCACGTGGTCCCTGTTAATCAAATATATTCCTAGAAATGTATAGGAGGTAAGATAAAAAAATTATCCTGCAATCAGTCAGGTATTTGAAAACCTTATGTATAGTATTATGACAAATAATTGTTTTCATTTTTGCATAGATTGCATAATTCAGAAGGAGTTGGTACACCATTTGGTCCGAAAGCAAATATCGGCGATATCATTGGTTGTGGTATTGTATTTCCTTCAACCGACATTCTAGAGAACTCCGAAGTGGATGTCTTCTTTACATTGAACAGTGAAAAGGTATTTTGTTTTATAATATCCAAGGATAATGAAACAAAGAAATGTTTGCCATTTGATAAGGGACTTTCCGTTTTCAATTTTCCTTGGAGTTCGGTATTTTTGTTAATTTACTGTCTTCGATGTCATTGTTTATAATGTAAGACATAAATTATTCTAAATTAGGAAATATATCTCCTTCATGCAAAGCAGCTTTTCCTCGTCCGAATTTGATTACACTGTTGGTCCTTTTTTTAATTTATCAGCTCTTTGTTTTAGGTTTTGGATTTTTGGAACCACCGAAGAGATATTAATTTTCGAAATGCGTATCTGGTGCAGTTAAGTTGATACCGTTTATTTTTTTATCAGTGTCATGTTATTAAAGTTTATATTCAAGTATTTTGGTATGGACCCAAATGGACACATCTTCTATATATATTCCCTTCAGAAGCATATAGTAAAATTTCTCCAAAAAGAGTACTTGACTGTCTTCATTTTTAAACGAGAATGATATTGTTATTGGGGTAATAGAGGAGTATTCTTTAAGCTTAACGTTTGTATCATGACACATTTCTTAAGATAAATTCATTCAATTTTTAGATTGGATCGACAAAATTCACTTATCCTTCGGGAGGGTTGTTTCCGGCTGTTGGGATGCATGTTAAAGATGCATGTGCTAGGTTTCACTTACGTGGCATGTGGAATGCTTCTGCTTGGATATCAGAAGACCAACCAAATAAGACGGATGACCAAGAATTCAACGAAGCGGTACTACTTAACTTATAAAGATATTTTCATTTTTTTAAACGAGATCAAAGATAAATATTAAATTACGTGTAAACGAGAGGCGAAAGATACCAAAGGGCTATGCAAACTCGTAAGTCGAAAAAAACCTGACACTGTCATGGCAAACAACAAAAAACGATCAAAAGACAAATAACAGTAAAACACAACATACAAAACTAAAGACTGAGCAACATGAACCCCACCAAAAAAAAAAACCGGTGATAATTTCAGGTGCTCGTGTTGGCGTCCGTACAATGTTTACCACGGTCAACAAAAATAAAATGCAAAAGGATTAAAGATGGTGTAAAATGCATACCTTGTTGATTGTAATTTATTTCATACTTATCATGTATATGTGATTTTAAATATGCGATGGTTGAGAGTGAAACCTGAACCTTCAAACGAAATTAAAAATAGGTGTCCTTTAAAAGGGCACCATATCCCATTGTTCTATCATATTTAGATACCCATTAAAACCAGAAATATGGGCATAACCCCTAGGACAGACAGATGCGATCAGTAAAAACATAATGCCACAATCCCCTTTTACAATGTAGGCGGGGCATCTACATAAAAAGCAACCCACATTTATTCAAACATTGGTGTTGAAATTTTTTTAACGTATTTGATGCTTAAAACTGATATTTTTCTGCATTTTAGGATCCGGCGCCGGAGCCTGAATCCGCTCCTCCGATCTGTATTTGTATTCTAATATTCCTGATTGTAGAATTTAATAGTTTACTAATATCAATTTTATTTTAGACTGACAGTTCCAATGAAGATAGTTTGTTCTCCAAAAGCATGTTTAAGAAATCAATGGAGGAAAATGTTCTGATAACTGCATTAAAATCCCGCATGGAGCATTGCTCCGAAGCTGCTGATGCTGCATGGGAGTACTATAATTTGAAAAGATCGTTGTATACGCTCCAAAGTCTTCAAAAATAATAAATATGAAACAAAATAAGTATGTAAATAGAATAGTGTGAATACGTTAAAAACGAGATGTAGGGCCGTAAACATTAATGAGAAAGTAACCCAACGACACAAATAAAAAAAATATAAAATATACCTGTAGTTTTATATAAGATATGATGCTAAACGCAAGAGTCTAAAAAATATAAACAGAGACCCTCAAAGACACGATAAATTGTCCAAATGACAAAAACATTAAAGTTTTACTATGGCAAAAGACAAACTTAATGCTTTGAAAAAAAATATTAAAAGCAAAAAGAGAACAGGAAAAAAAAAGAACTTTTTTATTACTAAACTTATTTCACAAAGACTGAAGTTACACGTGTATTTCACACTTGAACTGCATTCGATTAGAAAGTTTCGGTGCTTAAATGTCGACCGCAAAGCTAATCACGGCAGATCGGAAAGTTGTGAATTACTACATTTAGATTAAATTTGTTACGTAATTGTGCTATCCTGTAGTGCACATACCAAGACCAAGTTGCCTTTAAGTGTCTGTGATGTTCTCTGTCGTATTTAGGCCCTAGCTTTTGATTTGTGTTTGGTATCGCGAGAGCTTGAGAAAAGTTATTTCAAAATCTGGCTTTATGCAAAATGCAATCAAAGTAAATTTATATAAAAATAAATTTAGTTGATGAAATCAGGACTGTTTAACACAGGAATTTGTTTAATAAGAATAAGTATATTTTTCGCAAAAAAAAAATCATTCTTTAAAAAAAACACAAAGTAATGATTTATTCAATTTTTATTTACAGTTAATAGAAGACCAGTTCCATGTCAACATTCAATATACAACTGCTATATATTTATACTGTTGTTAGTGGCACTTGCATGCAGAAAATGATAGCTGAACTATATATGTCTGTACAAATGTTCTTTGAAATAAAACAGTATTAAATAAAATGCCATTACCTGAATGGAAACAGAATATGTTCATGTTATTTGTATTGCCAGTTGCCATCTTATGTTGCAAAGCAATAATTCAGCCCTTTCCAAACATACCTTTTTTGCAGTGCTGGTCCAAGTATCCCCGATTCATTGCGGTAAACAAATTTGTTGAACCTAAGAATATCATGAACTGTTTCATGCAGTACTTTGAAAATAGAGTATACTCTATGTTAAAAAAACAAAAAAGTAAATTGCTGGTATTTGCGATATTGATTACTGTAATTTGCGATGTTGATTGTAGGTATATGTCGAAGTTGATTGTAGGTATATGTCGACGTTGATTGTAGGTATATGTCGACGTTGATTGTAGGTATATGTCGACGTTGATTGTAGGTATATGTCGACGTTGATTGTAGGTATATGTCGACGTTGATTGTAGGTATATGTCGACGTTGATTGTAGATATGTGTCGACGTTGATTGTAGGTATATGTCGACGTTGATTGCTAGTATTTGAGATGTTGATTGCTGGTAATTGCGATTTTGAATGTTGGTATTTTCGATGATGATTGTAGGTATTGGAGATGTTAATTGCTGGTATTTGTGATTTTGAATGTTGGTATTTGCGATGATGATTATACTGGTTTTTGCGATGTTGATTGTAGGTATTGGAGATGTTGATTGCTGGTAATTGCGATTTTGAATGTTGGTATTTGCGATGATGATTATACTGGTTTTTGCGATGTTGATTGTAGGTATTGGAGATGTTAATTGCTGGTATTTGTGATTTTGAATGTTGGTATTTGCGATGATGATTATACTGGTTTTTGCGATGTTGATTGTAAGTATTTGAGATGTTAATTGCTGGTATTTGTGATTTTGAATGTTGGTATTTTCGATGATGATTACTGTTTTTTGCGATGTTGATTGCTGATGTTTTTCATATTGATTGCTGGTAAACCTGTAGATTGTTCCATTTTATCTAGCTGCAAGCTAGCATATTCACGTACTAGAACCTCAATATGCAAAAAATAATTAACATTGAAGTAAGCTAACATCTTAAATATTTGTCGATCCAACGCTGAAAATGTTTGACGCATATCATAAAATAGGATGTAGAGTACAAAATATTACAATACGCCAATTTTAATTCGAAGATCCATCTATAAATATCGCATACTAAATAAGATGAAATCACCATTACCTTTGTAATAACAGCTTTTCCTATTACGAGATTTATAATGTTAGATATCAGATTGTGGTCCTATGTAGACAGGGCAAAAAAAACCTTATTGATTAGCATTACAAATGCAACCAAAGATAGCATCAAATTGATGGAATTTGTTTCTTTTTAAAAATGTACTAATTGTGAACTCCTCATTCTATTTTGCGCATTTTTACTAGTCAAAAAAGAGTAAGAAGATATTAAAAGAGACTGTCAAAACTCATTAGACGAAGGGAGACCGACGAAACCAAGACGAAACTACAAATACACATTTAACAGTACAGAATACACTATACACCGTACACAAAAAACCTATTAACGTACTTACAAAAATGTATTAGCGCTGTTCCTTTGCTTTTTTTTTTGTGTTTTTTTCTTTGCTTGTATTGATTGTGTGTCATGGATGGATACCCCATATCCTTTATTTTTCTACTATACCAAAACCTGCATTTATACACAACGTTGGATTAAGTACCAGTAACTGTCAGCATGTTTGATACGGTAATATATGATCATCTATAAACTAGTTGCTGATCGATATTGGAATGATGGTAATTTTTGCATTAGCTAATCGCGAGAGCTAACAGTGGAAAAACACTATTCTTTGTATCTTTGGTTTGGTTTGTTTCTCCTTTGTATTTTTATATTGCCTTGTTTCTTCTATGTATCTTTATACTGTTTTCTTTCTTTTTTGTATCTTTATGTTTCGTCTATACATTTTATATCCAATATTTCTTATTTAAAACATAATAACACGGATGTTCGTCCATTCGAAACAAAGTAACAAAAGCATTTGAAGGTGCATACATTTGTGTCAATCATGGGTTTGGCTATTCTGTTTAGGTTCACATGTACAATGTTATCAGTCATCCTTACATGTCCAAACATTTGTCTCTCTATGAGCATATATAATTTTTTTTTTAAAGTTTCTAAAAAACAAAATATCAGAAGTCGTAGAATAACTGACAGCGTCATAGTCAATAAAAAAAGAAGAAAAGACAGAAAAAAAGATCAACAAAACAAGACACGGGACAAAAAACTGATGGCTTTGCAACAAACCGCGGGTATACTGAGGTGATAAACAGTTCTTGCACTATATATATTTGGCAGTTATTTTGAATTCAACAAAAACAATACGTTGATGTACTAACAAACCGTAATCGAACGTGGTGCCTCAACCTTGACGATAAGTATATCATACATGGTTTCGTCATCTGCGATAAGAACAAGGGAACTTAGGCTTATTTTGTATACGTCAGTTTGCAGATAAGGTTATTGGCCTCAGAATACGATTCTTACTTCAACATGAAAGAAATCCTGTGGTTGGGACTGTTCGCTTTTGTGTATTTTACTGAAGGTATACATAGTTTTATATATTGATTATACTCAGTCTAGCAATATGACACAATCACAATGGTTGACTCGGGAGTAGACATATGGCAACCCCTTGATTTTTTTCGTTCAGGCTGTAACTAAAGTTGGCATCTGTTTGGTTGCGCGGGATGTATAAATACACGTCCATTTCCTGCGTGATTAGGGATGTTTATAATCAGATGCCTCTTGTACAGATAATGCGACGCCCTATGCGTGTTAGATCACGTTACAGAACGATTCTAACAACTCTCTGAAAGGTCCGTAGGTGATCTATTTCAAGTCAAAATGTGTATCCCTATCCTACATATTGACCTATTTTCAAGGGGCAGTCCAAATTTTCGGGCCTTCATCTCGGTCAATTCATACCTTGCAGGCCTACCTATTGTATTAGTTGTTCTGAACAGTATATCTTATTTGCCACTGAACGTAAATCAAACACAATCAATCAATCATCGATATGACACTTTGCTTTTCAAATCGATGAATAACATTCCCTTCTTTAATTAAATGTTTGATGTGTGTGCTCTTTTGGAAACGGTTTAGAAATGATTGAGATGATGATAATGAATGGCTGCTTAATGTCAAGTGGCAAATGGATATGCATATTTAGGGCGAGAACATGTTACTGTAAGAATTCAAACTCTGCTCTGTACTAGACCGTCATGCTGAGCCTGATTTTTAACGTGCTAGTAACAGACCACATGAAGGCACGTTACCCGGATTCATTATTCTGACTGCGAGCCGACTTGTCTGTGCTCTTATTCCTAAATGCCGCGTGCTTAGCGGAGAAGCAGCAAATACCAGTTTTAAAGTCTTTGGTTTGACCCTGCCGGGGTTCGAACCCTCGACCTTCCGCACTCGAATACGTTACCACGAGACCACCCAGGCGGTAGAAATGGTTAAGAAAGAACCGGTTTAGAAATGATTAAGAAAGAACCGGCTTAGAAATAATTATCCTCATTCAGCGTCGTCATATATATTTTAACACAACAAAAATGTCGTTTCCACTTACATGTATGCTCTATATAAAAGGGACACCAGCTTGCTAATCAAGGACCAATTCATAAAATATGATCAAATATAGTTTAAGAATATTACATTGATCATTTAATAGAAGAGCCTGACGTTATCGAACGAAGTTTGATATAATTTTGCGAAAAATGATATGGCAGTTTAACATCTTTGTATGTTCTCAATGCATTATGTTATAAATAATCTAAATCATCATTAAGTCATAACGAATTTCTGTTCCCTGTTGTTTTTCCTGATAAGGTACACATTTAGAAGAAAGAGCAGCATCACGTCATGAGATAGAACTTCTTATTGTAGCCGATTATAGTGCATATAAAAAGTGAGTTACATTACATACAGTGTATGTCTTGCATCCAATTCATTTGATCTCTTGTGGGTAGTTGTCCAATTGGCAATCATATCATATCTCCTTATTTTTATAGTCACTCGTACTTGTCTTGTTTTTTTTAACAACAGTACGCAAAACACAACTTAAAAAACTAAAGACTAAGCAACACAAACTCTACCAAAGAACAGGGGTGATCTCAGGTCACAGCTCCGGAAGGGTAAGCAGATCCTGCAGATCCTGCTCTACATGTGGCATCCGTCTTGTTGCTCATGTAATTACAAATCCGACTTACTCGGTAGGTCACATTCGAGGAAAAGAGGCCGAGATTGTAGTTACGACAATTGGAACAATCTGGGAAACAGATATTCCATAAAGGTCAAACAACTCGTGATGACGTCCGTAAAACTTTAAAGGGATGATTTCTACATCAGCACTTGGAACTCTTTCTTTGATTTCTGCCTTGTAAGCAGCAACCCTCTATCAAGAAACAATGATAGGAATGCTACTTTTGGAATATCGTATCAACTGGGAGATATATACTCCTCATGCGGGCACTGCTGGAATGTTGCTAAATAGGTATTGAAAGTTCACAATTGGAAAGCTGAAATCATCTCTTTTGTCGTAATGTTTTGTTTTCAACCGACCTTAATTGACAATTTATAGGACATACAACGTTTTTGAACCTCTTACCAGTATGTGTTTTAGTTTCGGGAAACATACTAGTACATTTACATTCACCATTCGTAAACTCGATGCGAAAAGTAATTTGCTAGCTACGGACTATGTATTTGGAATAATTGGGGGTGTACAACCATATTTTGTATTATTGCATGCCTACGCAGTGGCGGATCCAGGGGGGGGGGGTCCGGGGGTTGGACCCCCCTTTTTGACGATCAATGCATTTGAATGGGGGACATATAGTTGGAACCCCCCTTTATCCTGGGTTCGGACCCCCCCCCCCCCCCCCCCCCCCCCCCCCCCCCATTTAAAAAATGGCTGGATCTGCCCCTGCTACGATCATGAATTTGGAATAAATTCGTGCGCATGGCAATTTAAATGGAACTATTGCGTCTATACGAACATATACAAATTAAAGAAAAATTGTATTTTAGAAATGATATAATGACCTTGAATGAGTACGTTCTAAATAAAATTTTCAAAGAGCATAAACAATGATTCATAGGAGTGCATAAATATCAAAGATAAAAAACAAGCAATAAAACCGAATATACTGGCACAGTGAACGATTAGATAGACACAAACAAATCTAAGATAAATGTAACACCCTAAAAAGCAAAGAAACATTCAATATTTGGTGGTTCACTTATTTACAAGTTTTAAGCTTCTTTACGGATGCCTTTGCATCTGACTCGCCGCCAAAATTACTCGATAGAAACATAGATGTTTATGGGTATTACATGTAATATTCAATTTTCAAACAATAAAGTTTTATAACTGCTTAAAATAATAGAATTATACATAGTGTTCCATGGACCGCAAAGGTTGTCTTGTGGATACGTGCTTGCATTGAGGTATTGAGTGCAGGGAAAGAGAGCGAATGTCATTCTTTTGACTGTTACTTCTGACCTTTACCACGTTAAAACTATGGCTCAGCCTATCGGTTTACTTCAAAGCAGGACATATATTCATATTCGGCACATTTACACGTGCTTTTCCCAAATATGTTTGTAATAGTTGCAACTAGACGTTTAACAGAACCAAACTTTTTCTCTGTAAACGACTCTAACTAGTTTGCAAAAATGCACATAAATGACAATTTTAAATGATTGACAGCTGGTATGATAAAACGCCTACAACTGACACATCACAAAACAGAGAAAGCGCTGCAAAGAGTAACCTGAAAGCTTATATCGGGAGTCTTATAAAATCGGTATGTACTGAGTTATATTAATAGCAATAAATCAAACAAATACTATAAACATGACAAAAGGGAAAAAGAACATTAAATAAGCTTTAAACTGTTTCGATTCTTACACATCCTTGGCTATCAAATATTCCACTTTGAGCGTTCCTTGTAAAGATTAATCCAGAAAAGCGCTTCGGACGCATGCAATTTATATCTTGTTGTTTTCATTTTCTATGATTTACATGCATGTGTGTATCAAGAAGGTACGGCTTCTAATTGCTGAAAAAAATGTGACTTAAAACGTGTCCAACATCGCGGCATAAGAGGTAAATCTTTTCATCCTCTTAAATCGGAGGAAAAGAAATATTTTGTTTTAAATTTAATAGTTCAACAACATTAGTGCAATGCAACAAAATGTGTTTGGGTGCTTCAAAGACAAACGCGCCGCATTAAGGACAAAGACTAGTTCCCGTAAGAAATCTATACTCGTAACTTATTACCATGATATTGATCTAAATGAACATGTAATATTTGCCGCTGGGCGTTAAGCAGATACCAACCAATCCACTATTCACGATTGATTATTTGAGTTTTATATAATGCATGAAACTTTTATTATGCTTGTACTAAAAAGTATGTTAATTTTTCTATTTACAGAGTAATATTGTTTATAAAAGCCTGGAGCCAAACAATATATTTGTACAGATTAAACTCGTTGATGTTGTCGTCATGACGGTAATTATCGTTTTTATACTTTACTTTACTTTAAATTCACACTTTTTTATGCGCCCACTGTAGGCGACGGAGGCATAAAATGTTACCCTTGACCGTCCGTCTCCGTCTTTCCGTCCATCCGTCCCGTTTTCGTTGCAAAGCTTGAACAAGGGCATTCGTGTCCTCAGACACATTCGTCTTTTATTTTGTTTCTATGATGCGGTAGGTTAAATAGAATGAACAATTCCATCGGATCTTAGCTTTGAATATCCGTCCTGATAAATCGTGGTGAAACCTTATCATAGTTACCAAGCTCACAATTAAATACGCCGAACCCGATTTTAGTCTACATCAGGCTCAAAACAGTCAGAGGACCAAATCAAATACGAAGTTGAAGAGAATTGATAATCAAAAGCGCTAAGTCAAATCTAGCAAAGACCATCTATCTTAAGGATAAAAAACCTTCGGATGATTTCAACTGATTTTAATTAACAGCCAATTTACCGAAAAATGACCGAATGAATCATATTTCCTGACGGCAGAGGATTGTCGCCTACTCGGCTGATGAAACCCTATTAGTGACATCGACCAACTGTAGTTGAAAATCTTCATAGTGAACCAGAACCAACCAATATTAAGAAATTGAAATCATTAGTCTTGAAAGTAACCCTCCCCTCTATTTTTTATTTACACACACATACACACACACGCTCGCGAGCGCGTTTTATGAAAAGAAAGAATTAAAAAAAAAAATGAAAAAAAACATAAGTGAAATAAAAAAATAATAACTGAGAGAAAGCAAAAAAAACGTATAAATGATATAAATCAATAAAGAACTTTTATATTTCATCATTTTGTCGGGTTGTGGTATTATTGACAATACTCCCACATTTCATTCAAATCATTGGCAAAATCACTAGAGAGGTCCAATCAATTCGACTTGTAGAAGGTATACATTGTAAGTGAAACTGCAACAAAATTGATAATCTGCCAAAATAACTTTCTTTACAGAGAGCATCGGATTCGCCCTGGACAGAAACAGTAAAGGTCCGAGCTTCACCGAAATACCGAGTAGATCCTAACAAAGTATTACCTCTTTTCAAACCAAAGTCTGTACAGCTGCAATCAACAATTCCGCATGATCATGCTATGGTCTTTACGATGTACGTGAATATCTGTACTTCTCATTTCAAATTTTTATGAGGTTCTGGATGGGGTTTCCAGAATAGAGAATAATGTGCAAAAAGTGCAGAATAAAGGGCATGCAATAAATATAGAGAATAGGGAAAACTAAGTCAAAAAAAAAAAAAGAATAGAAAATAATGGGGTGCTCAAATATAAAGAATAGAGAATAACAGGAAAAATTCATAAAAAATAGAGAAAAATGGCCTCAAAATTAAAGAATACAGAAATGCATAACCTCATCCTGACCCTCTTTTATAGACATTGTATTCTAAAAGAAAACGGTATTATTTGAAACATCTGTCTTTACTGATTAAAATATTATACATGTATCAGTCGTTCATAATAAGATATATATATAGCGTGAATGTCAGTAAGACAGCAAACAAACAACAACAAGAGAGTGATGCGTAGTTTACTAACGTAACCATGGTTACTGAAAAACGTAAAGGAGCATTAAATTTAGCCATACACCTCAAGCACGGAATATATTTTACAGTTTTTTTTTATCATTTTTTCGTTTATACTTTACTCTTTGTAATTTATTAGCAGTTTTTATTTGAGAAAGACACACAAGAAATATTATGATATACTTTAGAAACAAAATACAAATATACATCAGACAAATGCATAGTTATACTTGAGAAAAACTAGAGGTTTATTTCTTTATATACAAATTTGGAAATACTGTACTAACTTATTGAACCAGAGTTCGTACGTACAAAAATCGTATAACATCTCAATCGGGATACTTAGTATATGAATTATATTTTTCTAGTGTGTTCAGTCAAAATAATTTGAAAATTAGAAAAAAAACTGTTAAAATAAGGTCTTTCCTCACGTAGGGGAAAACATTAAATGCTATACCAATGTTTCAGGTTTCAATGTTACAGGTTTCAATGTTTCAGGTTTCAATGTTTCAAGTTTCAATGTTACAGGTTTCAATGTTACAAGTTTCAATGTTTCAGGTTTCAATGTTACAGGTTTATTGCCTTCGTATTATTGTTGTTCATATTTGTTTTAGGTATGCCCTATCTCACGGAGACAATAACACATTTTCAGGTATTACAATTGTTTTAATATACACATCTACACATTATATTGAATTAATTACAAAACAAATATCATATATCATATGTAAATCATATGTGTTGCTTTGTTAATATACCACGTGCTTTCCAAATCTTGCGGTTTATAGTGATGACGGAGTCCGTCCGTCTGTCTGTCCGTTCGTTTATTTGTTCGTCCGTCATTCTGTCCCACTTAAATCCCCTACTGCTCCTCAACAGCTAGACACAATTGTGTAAAACTTTCACAGCATCTTACTCACATGATGTACTTTTGCCTCCTATTATATTTCATCTGAATGATGTTTTAGTTTTATTTTGATTGCCTTCGTCATATCTGGATACTTTAGTACATATTTGTATCCACTTCTCCTCCTCAACCCCTAAACATAATTTAAGAAACTATCTCAGAATCTCTACCATTTTAGGCATTTGTGCAACAATTATTTTGTTTTTGGTCCGAATTATTTTGGGGGTTTCCTTAACAAATCATGGACTTTAAAGGGGCCCGAGCGGTGGTGTCATTTGTTTGCTAGCAGTACCTTTAGTTGTGAATTTATTAACATGTATTCACATGAGGCATATCTTATGAAACTGTCTGTTTCATAACACATTATAAGATGTCTTTCCATCTTTTTTGTCTCCGCCACACTGCTTATTCATAAATAATAGTAAGTTTCCAGGGAAAAGATGACTTAGACAAAATAACAAAAGCTATATTTCAAATAGTTTTTTTTATAAACGTAACGAACGTATTTAAGTCATCCATGTATTCCTATGTATTCTCAAAATTCAGATATGTTAGAAAACGCAGTTTGAGTGAAAAAAATATTTGTATATATATTATGTTGCTTGCTTATCCTTCCGGGGCACCTGAGATCACTCCCTGTTTTGGTAGGGTTCGTATTGCCCAGTCTTTAGTTTTGTATGTAGTAGTTTGTAGAATTTTGCTTGTCTTTTTGTAGATTTTCATTTTACTATGATTTTTTACAGTCTCTCTTCATCTTAAGTGTTCTGATTCTCCTTTCCTATCTTCAGTTTCTTTTTTGCAGGATATGCCTATACAGATGCAGAATGTAAATCTAAGAGCATATCATTAGTACAGGACAATACCGACTTCTATACAGCACAGTTAATGGCCCATGAGTTAGGCCACAGGTACACTATGAACATCTGAGAGCGTATCAATACACAGGGAAATTTCACTCACATCAATTTCACGGGAATATAAATTCATGTGAATCTGACGTGAAATTCACGTGAATTTCACCTTAAACGAGCTTATACGAGAAACTAACGTGAAATCAGTTCATGTGAGTTTCTCGTTAATCTCATGTGAAACTCACGTGAATTTCACATGAAAATCGCATGAATTTTTTTCACGTGAAATTCACCTGAATTTTTAAAGTATATAGTCATTCAAATAACATCATAATTTTCAAATTTAATTAAAATCATGAAAATTACCAATTTTGTGTTTTGTGAAATTAACGTTAAATCCACGTGAAAAATTTCACGTGAGATTTATGTGAAATTCACATGAACATTTTCATGTGAATTTCATGTATAAGTTCGTTTGAGGTGAATCTCACATGCAATTTTTCACGTGAATTTCATGTGAGATTTATGTGAAATTCACGTGAGCAGTATGTGTAGTACAGGACAATACCGACTTCTATACAGCACAGTTAATGACCCATGAGTTAGGCCACAGGTATGTACATCTGAAAGCGTATCATTGATACAATACGACAATACCGACTTCTATACAGCACAGTTAATGGTCCATGAGTTAGGACACAGGTATATACATCTGAGAGCGTATCATTGATACAATACGACAATACCGACTTCTATACAGAAGGGTTAATGGTCCATGAGTTAGGACACAGGTATGTACATCTGAGAGCGTATCATTGATACAATACGACAATACCGACTTCTATACAGCACAGTTAATGACCCATGAGTTAGGACACAGGTATGTACATCTGAGGGCGAATCATTAGTACAGGACAATACCGACTTCTATACAGCACAGTTAATGGCCCATGAGTTAGGCCACAGGTATGTACATCTGAGAGCGTATCATTGATACAATACGACAATACCGACTTCTATACAGCACAGTTAATGACCCATGAGTTAGGACACAGGTATGTACATCTGAGAGCGTATCATTGATACAATACGACAATACCGACTTCTATACAGCACAGTTAATGACCCATGAGTTAGGACACAGGTATGTACATCTGAGGGCGAATCATTAGTACAGGACAATACCGACTTCTATACAGCACAGTTAATGGCCCATGAGTTAGGCCACAGGTATGTTTATCAAAGAGCAATTCCTTCTTACAGGACTATTCTTATTTCTACACTTCGCAAGTAATTGCCAAGGAGTTAGGTCATAGGTACATGTAAGTAAATTTGTGTTAATTTCGTTTATACATGACAATACGGATTATTACGGATTTCTATACAGCACAATAAATGGTCCATGGGCACAGGTTTATAAATCGCACACGAAGGCGGACTTCAACTGTGCCCAAACAGTAATATATTAAGTGAAATAGACATCACACTTAACTCCGAAACATACAATTGAACCTAAACTAATAAAACACACAAGACTAACAAAGGCTGGAGGTTCCTGATTTGCGACAGGCGTAAAAATGCGGCGGGGTTAAACATGATTTGTAAGTTCTCACTCATTTAATTAAAATAGTACAATAATTATTCCTACACAGCACAATAAGTGGTCAATTAGTTAGGTTTAAAGTTGGAAAATTTATCGTTAGTACAGAACAATATAAATTTTTATACAGCACAATTGATGGCTCATGTGTTAATACACTAAATATATAAAACCAGAGATAATTTTTACTAAATGTTTTGCCTTTCAGTTTGGGATGTGATCATGACGGAGATGGCAACTCCTGTAATAGTAAAGACGGATATGCCATGGCAACACACTTTATCCTGGCAAATGTAAAGAAATGGACATTTTCGTCTTGTTCTGTGAATTACATTCAAACATACATATCTAGCTTGGACAAGTAAGTTCGTCGGTATTTCGAAATATTCAATACAAAACAAAAAAGAAATGTGCGATCAAATCTTTACCAGATATTGTGTCATCGGTCAGGGGAAAGATATAAAAAAAGATGAACTTGCAGTTCCCGTTACATGTATGTGTTACTACAACAGTGTCATCGAACAGCAGCTTTCTTTTGAGGGACAGTCATTCTTTTTTTTTTACTTTTTCGTTAGCAGTTGAATGTAATAGTACAATGCATCAGAAATAGATAGAAAACCAAAAAGTAATACCTTTATAATTTTTTTACAAAATAACTTTCAGTTTTTTGTATGATGCTTAAAGGTATTCACAGAAAAATGAATATCAGGTTGATAGATTTAGGAAAGAAGCGAAGAATTAAGTTGTTGTCTTAATTATTCCATGTTTACTTATTTGCTCACGTCAAATGAAAAAGAAGACCTTTGATGGCAAAACATTAGATATCGCATTCATGATGTGCATTTTTGACCTACTTTTTATTTGTCTTTTATATGAGTAGCTTCAAATATCATAAACTTGATAATGTCGATTTTTCCTTGCCTAAGCATTAGCTCAAATTAAACACAAATACCATAGACTGTAATGTTATTGTTATAGACAGCATAGGGACTGTTTGTTATCATCACAGAACAGACATCCAGACCCGTACGTGCTTAATGTTACAACTCTATGGTATGGACAGAGATATTCCGCTGACGAGCAATGTCGGGTGCACTATGGAGCAGGTTCCTATCTTTGCCGAGTACGTGAGTTATTATAGGATTAAACACCTTTTTAATTTATTGGTGTATAAATTCGACTAATTTACTCACAAACAAATAAAAGTCCTTTCCACACTCATAACCTCTTTTACACGTAAATTGTATAATGATGTCTTTGAATTAGCCTGGCGCATAAGTACATTTTTTTGTTAAAACAAAAGTAGTACTCCATGAAATTTGCTATCTGATAAAAAACAAACTACAAAAAATCATAATATCATTCAAATGAATATTTTATGTTTATTATTTAATTCAATGATTAACGCTAAGGGAAAATAAATATTTTAAACGTCCAGCCGGATTGTGTTATTATCGTTGCCATCTTGTTTACATTGGTTACAAAAAGAAGTTCGGTCAACGTCGTCTATCGAAAAATAAACAACGTCAAGAACAAATACTGGAAGTCCTCTCGGCCAATCATATCAACGTATTCCCTAATATGCAAATCATATAAGAATTATTTAGTCATAACGCAATCCATATTTTACCCAAGAAAAAATCAAATCTAAAAAGGACAAAAATTAAATGCCAAATCCGCTTTGATTTAAATGTTGTCTTACCGGGGCCTTTTCAGGCGGAAACCCAGTTGAAATAGAACAAAAGAATCGAAGCTCTTTGTTAGAGAAGGCGATAAATGCTTACTGTAATGTTTACTATAGTAACAAAATTTTTAAAAGTTAATAGAAACAAATAAAATGACAGTTTTCGGCTAAATTACGAAGTATTTTATCATAAAAACACAATTTGCATAAGTTTTCAATTTATCTATTACATAATTAAGCAGAACAATTAGATATCAAGTTGACGACATGGGTGTCTATTCAGTTGGATCTAAAAAATGCATAACCTCCGATTTTTATTTTTTTTTTTAACCACGGACGGAGAACATATCAATCTTTTTGTTCCTAGATTTTTGTTTCTGCCCTTCCATTATGTAACTCAAGAAAAAATTCAAAAAAATGGGTAACAATTGCATCGATAAGATAAAATCGAGTGCACCTTTTTATGTTAGGGCGTGTTTGAGTTAAATATTTTGTCTTGAAAACGTATAAAGCAAGAGTATTTGATACATCATCTCGCTTCAGATTCTATTATTTTTATATATCAAGGCTACAGGTTGACTTTATAACATCGAAAGTTCACAGTACTAAAAAAATAAATATATGGGTCAAGTGAAATACTTTTCTAATGAATCACAAAAACAGTGTAGGTGTGTTCGAATAGAAAATTTTTACTAAAAGTACTTGACGACTGACTTTTAAGTTGGATCTTAAAAATGCATATCTTCGAAAAAACTTCATTTTTTGTGTGTGACAATTAGGGTTTATAGTCTTCAACCACTGAAAATTTTTAGTCTGCCCTTCCACGAAATATTTAATTAGAATGTTTTTAAATGTTTATGAATTTCCGAAATTTCCACCTGACAACCGATCCGACAAAAGTTTTAAGTTGACTGAATGCAGACAAGTACATTAACTGATGCTCATTAGCTAGTAGATACATTTGTCTTTTAAAATACACCTGGCATATAAGGATCGTAATGGTGCTATGTGGATAAATTTATCGGTTTTCAAGAGCTAAATTGGAAACGCGTCATCCCTACAATGGCTTCCATTTTTACGATTGTAAAAATAACCTGGCGTAATGGGGAGATAATTTTGACGAAGTAGAACCCTGACTGTTTTATAACCTACTATACGGAATTAGTTTTGCATTTCGTTTAAAGTATTACACAAAAATTGAAACATCCATATGTTCAAATTCGATTTATTGTTCATTTCAGGATAGGTACTATAAAGATTACACCAATATTTGTCTAAAACTGAAATGCTACGATGCTAAGCGAGATAGCTGTTATTACATAGATGGCGGTGATGGAACACCATGTGGAAACAAAAAGGTTCAGACGCTTTAATCTTTTCTTACGCGACATGTTTAATAGTATCTATACTACTGAAGTAACAAGGTATAATTTGTTAGCCTGCATGACGTAAAAACGACGAATCAAACAATTTAACTTTATATATAACTAAAATGGTACAATGGTGTTGGTTAAAAATTACACCATTCCAGGCCCTTTTGTTATCCACATAATTAATATTACCAATAATTAACAAGTTCCGGGTCGAATACGATACCGATATTGTCTTATGTAGTTTCCGGTTGTAGTGAGAAAAACCAGGACGGGTTCAAGCAGAAAGATTTTGAAAGCAGAGCAAACTGCATATCTTATAATCAGCCAAGGACCCGAGATGTCGCGGGTGTGTTCTAGTAACATTTAAAAATATCAACGCTAACTTGAACCACCATGTACACATTTCCAAGAATTTTTTTTTCATTTACAATGCTTGAACCTTATAATTTCTATTGTTGTTATCTCAACCCCATCTTTAAGCTATTAAGAATCGAACATTAATGAAGAGACTTAAAAATAAATTGATGAAAATGCATAGCATAAAAAAATACCTTTATATAGATATAGGAAGATGTGGTATGAGTGCCAATGAGACAACTCTCCATCCAAGTTACAATTTATAAAAGTAAACCATTATAGGTCAAGGTACGGCCTTCAACACGGAGCACTGGCTCACACCGAACAGCAAGTTATAAAGGGCCCCAAAAAATTACTAGTGTAAAACCATTCAAACGGAAAAACCAACGGTCTAATCTATATAAAAACGAGAAACGAGAAACACGTATGAACTACATAAACAGACGACAACTACTGTAATCAGATTCCTGACTTAGGACAGGTGCAAACATTTGCAGAGAGATTAAACGTTTTAATGGTACCAAACCTTCTCCCTTTTCTGAAACAATAGTATACGAGAAACACGTATGAACTACATAAACAGACGACAACTACTGTAATCAGATTCCTGACTTAGGACAGGTGCAAACATTTGCAGAGGGATTAAACGTTTTAATGGTACCAAACCTTCTCCCTTTTCTGAAACAATAGTATAACATCACAACATAGAAAAACACACTATAAAATATCAATTGGAAGGCTTAACTCAATCAAAAAACGTAAATTAACACACAATGAACGAATAAATTTGACCTGTGACACTTTAGAACACTTAATTTTTACGTAGGTACTGAGTGCTTTTGCTAAACACTTTTCTTCTAAAAGTAGATTTTTTTTCATTTGTTGCAGTGGTGTATTTCGGATGTATGTGTACAGGATAATCATGCACCCTCGGTTTCAGGTAAACAGAGTTTATTCGAATTAATATTTTGAATCAATGAAGGATATAATTGTAGTCTTTAAAATATCATTGACGTAAATGAATGCCTCACGTGTTGATACTTTAGGTTCAGGCAAAGTTGACCTAAGATGGATTTAGCCATTTTTAGGTACTTTTTGGTCATATAACTCTTCAATTATTTCGGTTATACATTCTCGGCTTTCAAATATTCGGCTTTGAGTGTTCCCGATGAAGGTTAATCCAAAAAAGCGCTGCGAACGCATGAAATTGATAATGTGTTTTTATTCAAATTTGATTATATAAAAAATCTTCACTCTGAATATCAATAAAAGAATGTTGAATAAACGATAATGACACAGCAACCTAACAAGTCATAAAAACAATAACACATCTAGAGGGCATCACACGAGTTTCAACTTTAGACAGAGGAAAAGAGGGAAGACAACAAGAGGCAATAAAACACAGAAAATATAATGGCCATAAAGAAACATATTTTTATGGCCATTACTAAGTAACGGTACAATATTGGGGAATACAAACCCAAATCTGATTAAGATACTTGACATATCGTGTGACTAAGCTTCGCTTGCAAAGATCAGACAACTGTCCATTCTACTTTCTTTTTCGACATCTTTTGATATCCTCTGGTTTTGTCGTAATGATACACACCCAAAAATAGACGAAGCTTGAAATTTCATTGGCTGAGGTAATAATTACAAGAACAGGAAGTAGAACTGAGCTATTTCAGATCCTTGTAAGCGAAGCTTGTTCACATGGTCTGTGTTTTTATCAGATTGAATAACAAACACGATGATGGACTCAAACTGGTGTTGTCACAATATTTGAAAAAAAAGGGTTTGGAGAATAATGGGGTTCAATAGTGTAAAGAATAAATGTGGAACATAAAAGATTTATAGATGATAAACCGAATGATGTGCAGAATAAAGAAATCATATAACATGTATAATTACAGGAAAGTCATAAGTAAAATCATTTTTATGAGAAATTTACGGAATCAGCATTACTTTTAAAAGATAAAGAAAAATGCAAAAATTTAATTAAGACAAAAATTAAGAATCCCCATCCAGACCAAAAAGTAATCTAGAAACGTAGCGGCTTAGTTCAAAACAGACCTCCAAAATCTTTCCTTAACACCAAATTCCATGACGAACAATACAATCTTTTAAACTAAGTTTTCTGTGCATATTGCTGTTTGTTTGTTTATTCTACATTGACTAGATGTATAGGGGTTAAGATTGCACAAAACATGTAACCCCGCCGCATTTTTGCGCCTGTCACAAGCCAGGAGCGTCTATCCTTTGTTAGTCTTGTAAATTATTTTGTTTTAATTTGGTTCATTTATATGTTTCGGAGTTGAGTCACACTTTTGTTAGGGGGCCAGCTGAAGCCCGACACCACCATAAGCGGGATTTCCTGCTGTGTTGAAGACCCATTGGTGGTCTTGGGCTGTTTTCTGCTCTTTGGTCGGGTTGATGTCTCTTTGACACATTACTCGTTTCCATTCTTAATTTATGTAAGCCAACATATGAAATGGAAATCTCTACCATAATTTAACGAAGTTACTGCATTGGGAAACCTTACGAACGGGATATTTTCAAATTGTGTTACCAGCTTGAAACCGATCAGTGCTATACAAAGTTATAAGAAGATGTGGTAAGTTTGAATATCAGTGAGGCAACCCTCTATCAGGGACAGATGACTTAAACGTTACTTTACTCAAGATTGTTTTTCTAATATTGCTTTTTTTGGCAAAAAACCGGAAATGAAATACTAACTTTAAGTTTTCATCTTAATGAAGGAAAGCAAATCGTAAAGACAAACATTCAATTTGTTTAAGCTTGTACTGAAACACCAAAGAACATACTGTTTATTTTAATATCATTACTATGTAATTTTAAGATCTTTTTCGCGGAGAATTCATTTTAAATCAGCGTTTTGTATGTTAAGATTCTTGTCCTGCTGGAGACCAGACAGGCGTTGTTAAAAATGGCATGACGTGCAAACAATTGATTAGTTCCGATCCAAATGAATGTTATGCGCATGGCATTAAATACAAATGTTGCAGCACATGCGCAGGCAGCGATCAACATGGCAACACTATCAGCATAGACCAACAATGTGTGAAAAGACATGGACAGGGATCGTATCTTTGCAGGGTAAGAATCATAAGAAAGTAATTTTCAAAGTTAACAAAAACACGTCGCCACGTGCACGGTGATTTGGTGGCCGCGTCTTCGCTTCGAGTCAAGGAGGTCGATAGTTCAAACATAGACATTAGAGTTGGTAATTGCTTCTTCTCCGTTAAGCGCAATCTAACGGAGTAACAGCAAATACTGATTAGCTCGGAGTTAGAATAATATGCCCGTGTGGAAACACTAGTCTTCCTGCAGACTGATACCTTACAACATTAAAAATCTGACTCAGACTGTCCGTATAATACATAGCAGTGAATTCGTACAAGCATTTCATTTACTTCTTTTGCCTTAGTTTAAACAGTATTTATTAAAGAACAATTACAACAATATTACATTTTTTTTTTACATGAAATCAAACAATAATCAATGACACAACACACAATTAAGAGTGCTTGAAATTACAAGAGAGGGTGCATAAAAAATGAACAAAATATGATAAAACAAGAAAAAGAACGACGCTTTTATAAGTTGACTAAAAACTTTATTACAGTCTATAAAACAACAAAAAAATCAAAATTCAGCACACAAACCCAAATATAAATCAGGAGTCCTTGAGATAAGCAATTTCAAAGGATAGACTCCTTTATCAATGGTTATCAAATATTCTTGTGTGTTTGTTACAGAAAATAAAGGATATTTGTGTTTAGTGTAAAACATGATGACCTGAAAAATATCAACATTAAAAAACCAACAAAAAAGGGGGAAAAAAAACCTAAATAAGAATTAAACAAAGAAAATTTAAAATAAATACACTTTTTATTTAAGGGAACACATCGGTATTCAGCAGCAAATTATTTCTCGATGGTTTGTTCAGACCTTATGTGTAACGACCCCACACGGAGTAATTGGTGTTTGTCATCGTCATCTGATGATAGAACGACTTGTGGCGATAAAAAGGTTAGTGACCTCCAATTGAATGCAGAATGATCCCTTTTTATTCAAAAGTAATGCTTCATTTCAGAAGGAAACTTTTAATTTTCCACCAGAACATTTGCATGATTTGTAATCGCTTATTTCAATCGTTCGTTTTCTGACTAACCGAACTCAACTTACATTTATTACAGAATCATTTTCATAACAGCAATACTTATGTTGGTAATAATACTGAATCATTTACCTTTAAGTTAGTTGTCAACGGCTATCGATAACAGTGATTTTACGCTCACTCAGTCTATCAGAGGCCTTCCATTGGGGATTTAAATAGAATAAAAGAGTACATACAGGTGCACGAAAAAAAAAGAAAGGTTAAGTATTCAACATTTAAATCAACACACAATGTTAAGTCCTTTGCTAATTATTCATATTATTTGATTTAAGCGTTTAGAACATTTGAAGTCCCCACAGTTTAAATGTGTATAACACGTACGATAAATTATGTCAAGTGGGCGTTACAGACGAACGTTCAACTAATCTGACCCAGTCAATTGATAACCTGAGCGCGCCAAGACATGGTCTTGTCCAAATTATTTAATCACAGTTTCATATTACTCTTTTAAAGGCAATTTGTCAAGCCTTTCAAATTATTATCTAAATTGTGAAGGAAGAAAGATTACTTGTATTAGGATAATATCCAAATGAGAGTAGAATTGAAAGCAATATCCTTCCCAAGTTTAAAAGAGAGATATTCCTACGCCAATATCACTGTTTTCATTGATTCATGTAGATGCTGTAAAGGTGCTAATTGTTCAAACGACCTGAGTGGGTACACAGGACAATGAAAGTATTCTCTTTGTTCAATAGGGAGGAGAAATGTGAATGTAGCGGTCGGTTCGTTATTCGTTATTCAATATGCAATATCCTTCCGGCTGCTAGCAGTCGGTTCAATATTCATTTTTGTATTCTATTTTTACCAATGTCACGAGAACGACTGTCATTATCAGCAATTAAATGATGTGTGCTAAACTGACTGTACTGTGGTTTTATTTTCTTATTCCAGTGGTGCATCAACAAAGTATGTGTACACGACAATGCAGCTCCTTCTATGCAAGGTATCGTACTGCAGACAAACATTTTATTTAACGCCAAATAATTTTAATGTTTATTTCTGCTTTACTTTTTTACTAGATCTTTTCATTTTCGTCTCATCTGCAACCTTCAAAGTTACAAGTCCCCGTTAAGGAATTAAAAACATGATTAAATTACTTAGAAACTAAGATGAAACTCCCTCAGGCAAAACTGACCTTAGATGAATTGGGCTATTCTTTTTTTTGTCCCTTTTAGTCATTCAAGTCTTACCTTCTCGACGTATTTATGTCTCCTTTGCTTTTAAAATTTTGGGGTTATTCGTTCCTGATGGAGACAAATTTAGAAAAGAGTTTCCGGACGCACGAAACATATTGAGAGGTATTTTCATTTGCATAGTGTATTTTAGTGTAATGTTGTTAAACCTGTATAGAACTTCTTATTTTCACCGAAGCTGCTCCATAATGAAAATACAATATCTTGTGCATCTTGTGCATTAATTGGAGATAATATGTTTTTTACCAAACCTAAATTTCTCCATGGTCAAAAGATAGCCAAGTTATTATAATAAATTTTGAAAATGACATTTTTCTCATATTTTACGTGTTTTCCTATACATATAAGTTACATTTTCTTTTATATACGAAAGTTTGTCTTATAAATCTAGGTAAAAATATTTCCTTATTCTACTATTAAGTTAAAACCTTCATCGAATATTACAAAACTAGGACATAAAAGAGAGTATTTGTTTATTATATTTTATTCAGATTACAATTAAAAAAGATATCTGAATTTGAACTATCTGCTTCAAAACTAATATCTAGAAATATCTATAAAATATATCCGGAATATACTTTTGGTTATTTTAGAATCCTGTCCATTTGGGGACCAGTCGACTGGTATCGCAGCTCACGGTCTCACTTGTGCTCAGATAAAACATCCAGAACATCACTGGCGTTGCTATGACGACCATACAAGAAAAAAATGTTGTGAAACCTGTCAATCCATCTTACGAAATCAACAAGGTACATGTATATAATGTGTTTGAGTGTATATGCTTGACATGATTTTCTTTATCATTTAATTAATGCGTTTATAATTGAGGGTCTTGAACTTGGAGAGGGGTTTTCATTCCTGTATTTTAAAATTGGTTAAAGTCGTTTTCTCTTTCCGTTTATTTTTTACACACTATTCGTCATACAATTTATTTTACCACCCCATTTTTCATTTTTTTCGTCGTTTATATAAACAAGAAGATGTGGTATGATTGCCAATGTGACAACTCTCCACAAGAGACCACAATTTAGTGAGATAAAAAAAAAGACAAACTACACTTATCAAGTAAACGTTTTTGATTTTTTTCGCCATACAAAAGATCTAATAATAATAAAGAAAAATAGCCTAGTTAAATAACTAAACAATCGTGATATCCAAAAACTCGATTATCATATACTAGTATTGTTTTTTGCAATTTTGAAGCAAGGACCGAAGCTCATTATAAACTGGGCACACACAGGACTTCAGGAAAGTTCGGATTTCCGTAGATCTTGCTTCGGAAGTTGATTGGTTTGTTGTCATTCTCATAACGTTCAGTTAATTATTACTTACTATTCTGATAGGATGTGAATATGGAGACAAGAGTGACTGGTGCCAAACAAACATAGCCTCACAGAACGATAAACAGATGTGTTACTGGGGACATAATGCAGATTTATGTTGCGGGTCTTGTTCTAAATACAGGAATATGGCACACCACGGTACGTACCATTAATTTATGCATATTTGAGAGTATATTTGTCTCCTGCCTTCATAACACATTGTTTGTGAAAGGTCGAAATGTCGGCAAATTTTATTCTCAAGATGCGTCTGTCCTCATTCGAGTAGTAAGTGTTTAGGTTATATCAAGGAATGATCCTTTGAACAGTTTTTCGAAGTCATTCACCCCGAAATAAAACAAATCAGTAAACAATTGGATGAACGGATTTTACAATTTCAAATAATGCAACTGACCAACAAACAAATAAAGGATTAATATGAAACATTTTTTAGTTTAAAAAAATGAGATTTTTCATATATGCAAGTAATTGTGCAATTTCTCAATTTAAATAATCGTGTCCACTCAATTCAGATGATTACTCAATATTGAGGAGAACTTTCGAAGATTATTTATTGATTAAAAAAAAATGGTTGGACGTACGATTGAAATCAATGTGGTTGTAAGAATTTATAAGCAAGCAATAGGCAAATATCGGGTGAATTCGCTTTTTTACCGTACGGAATCGGAATACGAAGTTTATACATGTTTTGCAAACAGCTAAAAATATATTTGAAAATCGTATTCAACAGGTTGTGAATATGGAGATAAACAAAGTGGATGTGAAGCATCTAGATGTTCCCATTATAGTTCCAGCCACAGGGGAAAGTGTTGCGAAACATGCTTGAGTGCTCCTGTTATAGGATAAACATTCAATGGAAAATATATAAAATATCGAATTACGTTTTATTGTTCTGTTTAAGCTATACAGTGCGGGTATATCTTGAAATTAATCCAAACGATACAAAATGACTCCAGGTTGTTCGTAGAGCGATATTACAAGTGTCGACATATACAAATCGATATGCTATTAGAGTGAAGGGTAAATGATTTCACCTAGTTAATACTAGTAGTTTGAAGCAGACTTTTTGTTATATAGATCCTAACGTTAATAACTACTTATACATGCTTTGGCTGAAGCATTTCTGATGAAGGTTAATCTATTAAACACAAAATATGTAAATGATTATTCTCATCTATCACCGAATTTAACCTTCTATTGAGTAACGCAACAGGTGCCTCTCCGGCTTTGGTCGGGTTTGTGATGCTCAGTCTTTAGTTTTATACGTAGTGTACTGAAGACTTTTGCTTGTTTTTTCGTTGCCTTTAGTTTTTTCCAAGGGCGTAGTAATTTTCTATTTAAATTATTGCTATTGAATGTCCCTTTAATACATGTATATTTTGCTTGTTTTATTACAACTGTCAACATCGCCATATTTCTTTTACGTTGTGTTATAGTTGTCAACATCGATTCCTTTTACGTTGTTTTATTGTTGTCAACGTCGTCCTATTTATTTTACTAATATATTAGAAATTTGAAATCCTTTTATTATATGTTGCCATTGGACAATATTGTTAAGGACATGCACAATTTTTAATGTACAGTGACCATCTTATACACTTTAAAAAGAATATTACTGGAGAGTGGGTTACATTTGCGGAGTTAAAATATTGAGATTGGATTTTCTAGGGTAAATCATGTAGGCGAGGTTCAATTTCCTTTCGTGCTTTGACCCCGAAAACATGTTCCTTTAATGTCAAATTTAAACATAGGTGATAATTACCTCATTTTATCTTTATCTTTAAATCAGTGAAAATATAAAATTAAAAACTCATTTAGCAAAACCGACCCACTTTACAATATATAAATACGTCTTAAAACAAGAGTGAACATTTCACATTTAACAATGTTTAAGTCTATTTGAAATGTTAATTTTATATTTAAAAAGGATGGTCGCTTTTCTGTTTTCTGTTTCAAAATAACAAGCTTTTTAAAAATAGATAAAAATATTGTTAAATTAAATATATAGCTAAGGGAACTAAAAATACAGAAACACATTGTAGATTTATGTCCTCGTAATTTTTCAGTGATCACAAGCAACGAATTATCATCCGGCTCTCTGCAATTAAAACAGTTTATCTACGGTCCAAAAAAGGAATATGGGTCATCATAATAAAACATGCATATTTCGATGAGGGAAATTTCGGAAAACTGATGTCATTGTTTTAAAAATTAAAATATGTCCTGCTTTTCTGAAATATGGTAGCAACTATATTTAGAAATATGCAATGGGCAAAATTCGGAGTTCCTTCAATTTTATCAATTTTAGGTCATCCTTTGATATAATCAGGTCAATGGTGTTACCAATATAAAAACATGCATTTAATTATTAAAAAAATATTTTTAAATACCAAACAACTGTTCCAATTTGTTGTTAAGGTTTAAATTACTATTTATTGACATTATTTTATAAGTATGCATTCTATTTGAACATAAATGTCAGAATAAATTGTTGTAAAAACATATCTTTTCTACTTATGGTTGTTGTTAATATTAAAGAATACACTAAAACTGAATATATGTAAAATGTGTAAGACTGAATGATTAGATAATGCCTAATCCTTCGTATACGGTAAAAAAAAACTTTCAGTTGTTAATAAAAAATATAAAATATTGCATTTTTATATAGTAACACCACTGACCTATCTATCAGTAACTACAATGACACAAAAGTATCACCATTGACAACCCATTTCAAATTTTACTCTTATAGTACTGAACACAAAACAAAGAACACTAAGCAAAAGAAAAAGAAGAAAATTAATTCTTAGGCTAAAAGATTCCAAAATATATAACATAACATCAATAACTAAACATGTCAATAGTGTTACTAAATAGTGTCATTGGTGTTTCAGTTGTTATGTAAAGCAAAATATTGTCCTATGAAATGTTGTCCACCAAGACAATATTTCATGACTATGTATCATGAAATATTGTCCTTATCTATGGAAAAATGTCCAGAGAAGGACAAATTTTCATTGTGAAATTTTGTCTGTATATTTAACCCATTTCTCTGACGTCAGTCTATTGTTCTTATAGTAGATTACTTTTCAAGAATCCACTGACCACTTCGTTAACTTAAGATAACTTATTTTATAACTTTAAACTTTTAACTTACGATTTTTTATCCTCTCAAAAACGAGTGGCATATGAAGGGTTCGAACTCGCGCGTATTTTCTTCATAATCAGTAGAGTCTTCAGTCTATGCATGATACCACTATACCACGAGTGCTGACATAAATCAATATTTAAATAACACTCATAAAGCGCACAACTGTCAATACATGTCAATAAACTGTATGTCTGTCTCAGAGATAATTCGCTTTTGTTATCTAATAAAATATATATACTATGTCTGGATTTGTTCATGTTCTTTTCAAATTTATTTAAATTGTTTTATTTTGGGCGTTAGTTTTTAAGGAAGATTATGTTCTACATTTGAACGTTCTTGATTAAAGTTATATAGCAGTATGGAAATATCTTAAAACAGAGTTTATTCACGATGTCAGGTTTGAACATTGGTCGATTTTCAACATCGTTATAATGAACCGATGGGTCTTTATACGATTGTGGCTATTACACACTAGTTCTAAACACTAGAGAATCAAGGAATTGTATATATTAGTGCAATTCCTTGATAAAATAAACATTCATATGCCCATTACACTTGTCACTTTTAACGTACAAGGACTTTTCCTTTTTATCATAGCAAATACTTACTTATGGTTTTAGTCTTATAATGATATCGTACTATCAATATTTTTTTCTTTGTTTGATTATAAATGGTCCAAATATACATCGCGTCAACATTGAACGGACTCTAATTTGAATAAAGTGTGATATATAAGCTACGACCGTAAAACTACTTCTTTGATTGTAAAACCAGAAACAAAATCATCGCCTTTAAATGAAAATGAAGTATATAATACCTCTAAGATTAAAACAATATTTTTGTCGAGAAAAAAATTGCAATGAAAAAATTTCAAATCGGGTACAAGGTTTGAACTTGGCACTGTTAATGTCACAGTTATGTTTTTCGGTACCAACGACTAGACGATCACGGCTATGAACAGCTTGAATGTAAAAGTAAAAAATTCACATAATTATACATTGTACATCTGTAGTAAGAGCAATTCTGCTGGAGATTCAGAATGCGTACCACAGATAATACTAGTTTATTGACTGGTTTACGATGGATACCAAATGTAATAACGTTAAAAATAATCTAAACTTAATGAAAGGGAAACAGTTTAAACAAAATTCATGTATAATTGTTCAAAAAAGACTTTAAGCAATTATTTTATTTATTTCGGAAAGCATCATTAACTGGTGCATCATGAAATTGTAGTATTATGGCAACTACGCTAAATATATGTATTTGACTTAGTACGGTTAATTTGTAGAGAATCTTTAATCAGCTGTCAACAATAGCAGATTGCTAAATACTATATATGTAAATTTCAAAGGTTTCTAAATTTTGGTAATTACAATTTTTTAACTATTAAAAAAAAAAAAAATAAATTCTGTATTTTTATATATGTCTTTTTGAATAAATCATAAATACCAAAATCTATATAATTTAAATACTTTGTAATGATAAAGCATTAAATGAAATATAAATATACAAGTATGAAATCTGGTAATAAAAAGGGGAGCTAACAACCCATTTAAGTTATATTAAACTTATGTTAACTTAAATATAGACGTGAACCATGTGGATATAATCATTTTCAGCTATTATAAAATAAAAAAGACAAAATACGAAATTATTTTTATGAAATTCCGTTGATTCATTGTCAAAACATAAAACAGACAGTCGTTTTACTAGAAATGGGTTAAGCTAGAGAATTGATAAGAAGTAGTGGATTCAGAAACGATAATCAACTTGCGACTAAAGTCGCTCGTTGATTATCGTTTACGAATCCACTATTTCTTATCAATTCTCTACTACAGACAATATTTCACAGATTAATACTATGAAATGTTGTCCTGATAAAGGGAGGTAATATTTTGTTGTATTAACACAATATTTCATAGACAGATTGTCATGAATTTGTCTCATGAAGGGGAGGTTATCAACATATATCATGTTGGATAATGATATTATTAAAATGTTTTATTTGATTGATAATAACAAATAAACACAAATTAATAAATAGATACAGGTATTGATATATTAAAAGAAAACTATTTTTGCTCATCATGGATGGTATTAAAGGAATACAAATCACTTTTCGAATATCTCGGTCATAAAGTTGTATTGGTAGGAATTTCTGAAAATCAGAAAAGACTACTAAATAAATCAGAAGAATGGCTAATTCATTTTGTTTACAAAATAATGAAATCTATTCCAAAGGTTTTGACAAAAAAACAAATGATGTTACAAAAAAACCTTGTAATTATTGAAGATAAACTTGATGTAGTTACATATAGTTGTACTTAATTAACAAAATAATTTCAGTTATATAAATTTTAAAATGTGCATGCCGCATGCCTGTGTAATGTTTTTAATTTTGTAATAATTTGATTGAGAAATGTTTTTATGGACAGTATTTCATAGTGAACATATTGTCCTCCATGGAATATTGTCCGTCGGACAAAATTTCATGGTGAAATATTGTCTAAATAAGGGTGACTAAATTTCATGGACAGGGACACTATTTCATAAATACAAAAACAATGCTGATTGTCATAATCAATTTAGTGGTGTTACCAAACTGGTCAATGGTTTTACTTTATTAGAGTGGTCTCACCATTCCCTACCCCTTTTTATTATGTTGTCCCTGGTGCATGGTTCTACAATCAATATCTTTTCATAAATTAAAGTTTAGGTAATCTTTCGGAAAATGATTTTTATAAAGGGTACACCATGGACACTAATTTCAATTACAGTATAGCTTTTACATACTTTTAAGATTTTTTCACTAATTTTCAACATATATATTTTTTGTCGTCTGCATTACATGCTTACAGGTAACATTGCTACGGGAGAAACTATTTAAATGCTAAAATCTTGAGAAAGATAACTCTTACCCACCCAATTTGTCTTTTGGTTACACCAGTGACTTAAAAATGACACTTTCCTTTTTGTTGAAATGTTTTATTATCAAACCAACATACACTTTCCAAATCTTTAAAAAATGTTTGTATGTATCAAAATGCAATAAACAGACTAGTGATGAATCCTAATAACAAAGGATATGAATAATAGTCCTATTTCAGGCCTGAAAGGTACTATAGAAAAAATAACACTTAATTCTGGCTATATTCAAGAGTTTCAGAAAACATTAAGGATGTTTTTACAACATTTCATACTGTAAACTGTATATAGTGTATCACAAAACATTCATATCTAGCATATACAAGTGTTATTTTGATATATTTTCATGTCCTTGACTTATAAAGACCAAATAACATATATTTTCATGTTTTTTGATAATGACCCATATAGGACCATAGCATACCGTAATGGTATATGTCATTCAAATATGAAGTCTCACATTTGGAAAGAAACCACCACCCTCCTTTTTGTGTTCAACATTAACACAATTTTTTAAATCGTCATCAATATTTTTCATGTCTGGGGTGGTAAACTTTCTCCGTCATCCGAAAAAATCTTGTAGTCCATCTTCTTAACTCAGACTTTGAAAATTCGGCAATCAACCATCTCCAGATGATTATTCCGATAATACCCTTTACCACTGTAAGAAGTCATATTTTAAAAATGGGCACATAAAGGGTTTAATTTTCAAAGAATTAGAAAACATAATTCAAAAATAAGGGAATATCTTTTTACACCTTCAAAGGGCTATTATAGGTTCAATATCACCGTTGTAATGCGTTGCAGGATATTTTTTTAGAAGTGTTCCTTACAATGTTTTGATCGGCCAACAACGTCCTCAACCAATGTTTTTTCAATCGTAAATACTTGGGTATTTCGCAAAGCCGACAAAGAATGGCTGGGTAGTTCTGATTGCCAATAATGTGAAGTAATCATTATTTTAGACTACGATCAATGTGATTATTTATTGTCCTTTAGATTGTAATATCCTCTTGCTTTTACTAGAAGTAAAATGTTATCATAAAAGAACAAGCTGATTAATCATTCTACGGATTGAACCATCATTACAAAATGCTACAAAGAGTAATATTTGATATTACGTGAAACGAAACAAAAGCTGTCAGATTGACAACAAACTGTGTTTTCGAATTTTGGGAGTGAACCTGACGTCTTTACACTAAATCTGATGAATGTGCAATTGTTGATATTTAAGTCTTAAAAACATGATATATTTATTAGTTGCATTGAAGTTGAACATGCTTTTAGTAATGTATTCAACTAAATTAGGATGTTAATAATTAGTAACCACTATCAACAAATTATCATTTGCTGATCACAAGCGACGAATCATCATACGGCTTTCTTTCATTAAAAACGCATGTCTTTGGAAAAACGGAATGTAGGACCATCGCATACCGTTACGGTATTGACCATTCAAATATGAAGTCTCACATTTGGGAAGAAACCACCATCCCTCTAGTTTTGGTTCGCCATTAGCACAATTTTCAGAATTGCCATCAATGTTGTTCATGTCTGGAGTGGTAAACTTTGTCTGTTTTCCAAAAAAAATCTTGTAGACCATTTTCTGTAATCATTGACGGTGCTAAACAAAAAAGATGCGATGAAAGATTAGATATGTTGCAAGTTTATTGTTTGGACTGTGTCTCCATTTAAATGACTCCTTGCGTTTATAAACAGATGTAATAGGCGCAAAAGTATACCTTTGTGTATGCACAATGATGGGTTCTACATGCGGAGAACTATCTGCTTACCCTTCATGAGCACCTACGATCACCCTTAGCTTTTGGTGGGGTTCGTTTTGTTTAGTCTTCGGTTTTCTGTGTTGAATTTTGTGTATTGTAGTTTGTCTTTTCCTTTTTGTACCCATGGCGTTGCTAGTTTATTTTCGGCTTATGAGTTTGAATGACCCTTTGGTATCCTTCGCCTCTTTCTTATTGTTTTTGTAAAAAAAACCCAGGGTATTTAAACATTCTCGTAGTTGTATACTTTATATCTTAGTTATTTTTATTAACTATTGTTCAGACAATCTGTATAGTCATAACTTAAATGGCAGCTGTCTATACACCTTATCGCTATTTATTCAAATACGTTTTGAAATTACACGAAATAAATCAGTTGAAGCTATCCGTGAGCCATGCTTTCCCATTGCATTGTAAATACAATTTTCTAAACAAACATTTGCAACCACAATGCAACGATGTGAGGTGTTATTTCAGTTATAACTATAATAAAACTATATACCTTGATTTCCACTGAAGTTACCAATAGTTAAAATATACTTTGAATCTTCATTTCCAATTGAAAACTGTTTATATTACGCAAAAACTGTAAATTTCTTTAATTCATCATGAAGTAAATCGACCCGCAGTTCATATTGATCATTGGAGGTCAATTGATGTAAACGTTCGTTACCTGAAATTGTTAAGAGGTCTGTTTATAAACATCGTCATAAAGGGGGGAAAGGAGAACAAAAACACCAAGAACCAGAAAGAGGAAAACAAACTAATAAAAAAAGAAAAGAAAAAAGTAAAACCTTGTATTGATAAATTCATCTTGTCATAACATTGAGACATTCAACACAGAGCAAACTATGCAAAATCGAAAACAGCACACGAAATACTTGGCATCCAGTTGTTTTTTTATTATTTTTTTTTATTGGTGGAAGAATCTGTAGTACCAATTGAAAAATCAGATACCAATTCAGACACTAATCATACGCACGATTGAGGTCGCACTTATAACTACAGTGTTGATAGGTAAGTGATGAATATTTCAATGGGAACTTGGTTAACAGTGCGGAGATGTCAAATTATGTTTCTAAATCATGGTGAAGGACACGCTATAACAGTTACTGTAAATTCAGAAATTATTGGGAGGTTTTTGTTAATGCGGATAATGCGACTGAGTGAGTATCGCAATAATAAGAACTCGTATTCTTATATCTGATACATATATCTGTATGCAGATTTTCCTGACATCGCAACAATTAAACTCGCATTTTTGTCCATTTTTCAAAAATCGCAATAAAAATGCACGCAATAATTTCTGAATTTATAGTAGATATCGGTACTTGTGAATTAAACCGTCGATATATTGATACATGAACAAAAGCATTATTCAAAGGAATAATATTGATATTTATACAAACCTAGCCAATGCTCTTGTGCAACATCTCCAAATCCATTTTTGTAATCGTCCCAAAGTTTATCTCCAAAATTGACGTCTCCGTTAAAGCGTCTTTGAACAACCTTGAAGAAGAAAGTAAAATAAGTAAGTAACAATAAGCATATGCGGTATGGTTGTCTGTTAGACATCTATCAACAAGAAACCAAATGATGTAGATGTTAGCAACTAAAACATGATTTTTCAATTCATACGTGTGATATTCTTATATAGAAGTAACATCAATTTTAAAATAAAATTTTTGTCATTTCCTATATACCTTGTATGCAATCGCATGTACAGAGATGTAAATCTCTTTTATACATGAGATTACAAATATACCAAATTCTACTGCGCATCGGGTATCTACAATTACGAATTCGGCTTTGGGAAGACACAAATTATGAATAAGTTATAATAAGCTCTGAACTGGCTCTCAGTAACTGCCAGTATTCTTATTTTAGGTGCCTTGTTTCTATAATGCATATGTACATTAAAATAAACTGGTAAATTAAACTAAAATCACGTTTTAAAAAGAGATAACCACCCACCGACCCGAAATTTAGTAAGACAAAAACATTATTAGTGGGATAATTCAATGTTTCGCAAATACATCTCAGGTTAAATAATGAATGCCAGTAAAGATGTATATTAAATTGTTGTACAGATTTTATCGTTCCAATCTGTAGTTTAAATGGCGGCGATATCAAATCTAATAAGAGTACAGATTCTGCGTCTTAACAATACAAGTAATAAATTTGGTAAAAGTTCATGCTTTGCTTACAAGGATCTGACAACTCTCCGTTATACAGATTGGAACGATAACAGAAAGTAAAATGAAGGGTTGTCAGATTCCTGTTAGCGAAGCGTGGACACGTGATCTGTATTTCCATTAAATGTGGGGATATTCAAACTCAGGAAGTCTAATACAAACTAACCAGCCATCCTCCACCGTCCATTTCCATGTTACAGTATACATTGTATCCTGTCCCTCCCTCTGGATTTATCCTGTATACACCACTTGGTCCTCTTGTTAAGTCCATGCAATCTTTAATAGTTTTTGCTATAAATAGTAATGCTAACAAATAAATGCAACAGTAGTATACCGCTGTATAATAGTCATAAATCGATTTAGCAACCACCAATCCGTGTTACAAACTAAAACTAAAAAAAACACATCAGAGAAAAACAACGGAACAACAGCAACACCCTCCTGCTGTCATATTGTCCTTTTGGTTTTAGTTACACATTTCAGTTTGAAACAGTCATTTTGATCTGACCAGCCTTTACAAAATAGAACATTAAAACATCAAGTAAGAGTCCCTTTTCAGACTTATCCACTGAGGTGAATTCAATACCGTTAAGACAATATCTTGCAGTCAATTAATATCGGTTCTTTCAGTTTATATTCCGACAGTTCAGTAGTTGTTATAAGTGCAACAAAAAACCAAACGACAATGTAACACACACAGAAACGAACTATAAGATAACAACTGCCATTTTCCTGACTTGGTACAGGACATATTAAGAAAAAAATGGTGGGTTGAACCTGGTTTTGTGGCTAGCCAAACCTCGCGCTTTTATGGCAATGTTGAATATAACACTAAAATGACAACATAACATGACAGGACTACAGTACAAATAAATACAAGAACATTCAGGACAGAAAAATACACAAATAAACAATACAGTAGTACATTTCGACATGCTAATAGTTATCAAAGGTACCAGGCTTATAATTTAATACGCCAGACGCGCGTTTCATCTACATAAGACTCATCAGTGACGCTCAGATCAAAAAAGTTAGAAAGCCAAAAACAAGTACAAAGTTGAAGAGCATTGAGGACCCAAAATTCCAAAAAGTTGTGCCAAATACGGCTAAGGTAATCTATGCCTGGGATAAGAATAAGTCATACTTTTGCAAACAGTAAATTTATAAAAATGACCATATAATTGATATTCATGTCAACACCGAAGTGCTGACTACTGGGCTGGTGATACCCTCGGGGACGAAACGTCCACCAGCAGTGGCATCGACACATAAATTTGACAAGCTTTGCTTTTGACACTTCTTGTCCATTCTTGTACATATATCCAATAAAAATTTCACTTTGAAAACAATCAAAAAGAAGGAAATGTTCTAAGTTTTAAGCACCTCGAATTACAGACTGAACATGCGTCACTTACTTGTATGTGAAGTTCGTTTTTTGTTTTCCAGCTCCTCAATGTAGTCCTTTTCATATGATATCAACGTGCCAACCTTCTTCCAAAATGTTTCATTTAATTTTTGTTCTAGTTGATCTATTTCAGTATCGATGTAAGATTTAATATTTGACATGTCTAGATTGACTACAAGCGGAGCTTTTGTATCATCAAGTAGCGACATGGAAACCATTGGATTACAAAATGCCGTATACAGAAATAACACAAAAACACAAAATATTGGACTTATTCTTCAAAAAGTCATGGTTGTCTACGAATCTCAAGTATGGTTGTCGAAAACTAAACAAAAGCAAACGAAGGTTTAAGTTAATATTGTATTTAATAAAGATCATGTGTGATATTCTCCATGTTACTTGGTTTTGAAATCTCAGTACATTACCACTTAACCAGATAAATAGATAATGATATATAATGTTCATTTTTATATATAATTGGCTAAATTATAAAACAGATATGATATATTATATATAATTTGAAATAATTTGATTTCCACTTAATTCAAATTCGTGACTTAACTTGATGAATCCCCATTATATTGTCTTTATCTTTCTATGCTGCGTTTTGTCTCACATTTTAAATTAAATTTGTTGTTGGTTCCTACACGATTATTTTATTCAGAATGAAGAGGTTCCTGGTTTTTGACGCAAACCTTCTGTACAATTTAGAGGTTTGAATAAAAACAATATTTCTATTCCGTACCGTGGAGTTTTCCGTCGTTGTGTTAAGGATGAATAAAATTGTTTGTCTGAAGGTGTCATAGAGGTGCAATAGCAAAAACAACCAAAAAATAGGAAAAATCAAATAACTGACAGAGAATCAAAATGACGATTAAATATAGTTAAAAAAACATAATTCTACCATTAAAAAGTAAAATCACAAAAATACTGAACTTCAAGGAAAATTCAAAACGGAAAGGCCCGAATCAAATAGAAAACTCAAAAGCTCAGACACATCACACGAATTGATAACAACTGTCATGTTCCTGGCTTGGTACAGACATTTTTTTAAGACAGCTTTCTATCAAATTGTCTCAGATGAGTTGTGTCAAATAGTCAAAGTCGAATAACTCTCGAATAAACGGTCGAAACAAAATTCCGGTACAATATAATGGTGAAATACAAAGAACTGTAAACAATCCTGCTAACTTTATTTCAATAAGCAAAACATATCATACCAATTTAAACATTTCAATTTTAAATTCTATTGCTCTATGAATAGTATATTTTGTATATATGATCGTTTGTATCTGTTAGTTGTTACACATATGAAGAAGTAATTATGATTAATATTTGTCTACGTGAACGAATTATTGTATTCCCTATTTGAAGGTCGTCAAGGTATATGAGCTATTTCAGAAAACGAGATATAGATTTCATAAAAATACACTCAAAACATGTCTGAACGAACCCAATTGTAAAGATAAAATCCTTGATTATAAGAATTCTTATTTTTGGACTTGCAATGGCTTCTCTTTAGTTGTTGAACATGTCTTTATTGAATACCTTCAAAATGTAAACAAACATTTCTATCATCAAGATAGTTCGGTTTTAATAGGTTTCACAGTACAATATGCGTATGTATTGCGTTGTCAAGATTACACTTGGACATTTTACCCTTGTTTACATTTCAACATCTGATAAAACTGTTAAAAGATACAGGCAATTCACACCAATAATCTGATTAGAAAACAAAACTAGTCCAAGTGAAAAACTCAACGTCTTAAAGATGAAACAGGGTTTCTTCGATAAAGTAATTTTATTTGTATTATTTAACAATACTGCAGGTAAGTGCTTTCATTATTTATCAGATTTTTGTGTAATAGATAAACATAAGGATAAATTGAAAAATTGTAAACAGGTAAATAATTGAATAAATAAATAGAATATGTGTTGATACACATATTTCCACTGTAATACTGCGCTAAACAAAACATATACAAATGATTTTTACAAGGCCTTGCTAGTCGGGCTCTGACTGGTTCATATTTTGAAATGTATGCATAACCTGCAGACTCAATGTGTTGGACATTTTGAAATATGCATTGAATAAAATTCTCCTGGATCAGTATTATTGAAATGATTTTTTTTTTCAAATAACACATTTTCAATATGTCGTTTATGAGAAATGAAAGACAAAAAATAGTCTGGAATGAATTTACAGTCCTCGAGGGTATCATCAGCTCAGTAGTCAGTACTTTGGTACAGACATCATTTACAACAAACCTTTTTAAAATTGTCCGTTTTGGAATTTTGAAATTATAAAGAAACTAAGGTTAAAACTCATTCAGGCAAAGTCGACTTTAGATGGATTTGGCTTTTTTTAGGTAATTTTGGTTACATAATGCTTCAACAGTTTCAATTTTATAAATCGTTGGCTTTCAAATATTCAGCTATGAGTGCTCAATATATCATTTTATTCTGGTTTCACTTAAGTTGAACAAAGGTATACAGAAAAACATATTAATTTACAGTACATTGCCTTGTTCATTTGCCTTTGCTCAAGATGACGGTTTATTCAGAAAAGTGCTCCGGATGCATACAATTTATAACGTGCCGTATGAATTTTTGTTTAAACCTTATTGCGTTAAGATTTAAAGCCAAGCAAAAAAAAAAAAAAAAACATCAACAAAATCAACAAAATCAATTTTATGAAAAAAAAACTACTAACCTTTTTTGGTAATGTCCAGTTATCAATTATTTCAATTTTTCCCATCACAAAAAATCAATACGAGTTTGCATACTACAGTTTTTTTTATAATTTCAACATCTGTCTTTTCGATGCATTATTTTGATTGCCGTGTGTGGAATCTTTTCACTTTTCATAATTATTGACTGCACTTTTTATTCTAATTTTAGCCGAATTGTGTGAAACAAAATATGCGTATCCAGAATTTACAAAATACAACATTGAATGCGATGTTCCTTGTACTGTCATAGACTGGAATAATATAACGATGTGTGATAAATGTTGTCAAATGAATAGCACTTGGTATTGTGTCAATGTTGTCAGATACCACACATGTGAAGCTACTGGACAGTAAGTATTCATTCAGATATAAAAGCAATGCGACGAATTCGGTGCAGTAGGTGTCTTGTTTATTTGTCGTTAGGTTTCTATTTAGTGTTTTTTAAACTGCTGTTTGTCTTTTTGTCTTCTTCGAATGGCGTTGTCAGTTTTTTTTTCTCGACTTATCATCATTTTTCTAAAATCAGTATTAATTATCTAATAGATATGGATGTCATTGATGTTGAATTAAGCTTCATATTTTATTTTATATAAGTAACGGATTACATTTCACTGTTAATCTAAATCTACCAAAAACAAATATTTTCTACTTTATTCATGCAATATTTATTCAAACATGCATCCTCCAAAAAGACCAAATAGAAAGGACTAGATTCGGAAACCCCTATTATTGGCCTTGTGTATAAGCAACAAAAAAAAAATAATCTGTCAAACAAATGAGCATGTAAAACGATCATAGACATTCATAACTCAATGAAAATTTTTTTGTTTAAGTTTAAAAATAGCCCAAAGACGGTTTATAGTATCAGAATCAGAGACGGATTTCCGGATTTTTTACAAAAAAGTTTAAATTATGTTCCTGTTTGCTTACTTTAAATATGCGCGCAGTTGCTAGCCAGAAGTGTTTTATTTCATATCTTGTTTGTTTTTGTTCCAAAATTTAATGCCGAAAGTTATTTCTTCTGGCGAGACTGAGCGCATACATGAAATCGGAACATTTTGTCGGATTTTTTTGCTCCGGATCACCGGATTTGCTACTTCGTCTACACCAAGAGACTTTGAAAGTGACAACACACACAGA